TGACTGTCATGTGACCAGTTGATCATGATGTTGACGGTCATGTGACCAGTTGATCATGACGTGGACGGTCACGTGACCAGTTGATCATGACTTTGACGGTCAAATTGCTTCTGATATATTGTGACAAAATAATCAAAGCTGAACTCATATTTAGTTTTATACATTTAGTGATATTGTCACATTCAATAATGAATTCAGATTCAATCAATACAATTGTCAAATTTATGCTCTTGACTTAATTAGTTCAGTGGCTTTGCAGACTTTCTTTGAAACTATTTGCTGTCTTTTTTTAGATTTTCTCTTTTTTTCTCTCTTTGACAAGCCGAAACCCAGAGGGTTGAAAGAGTAATATACTGAGGATGAGATAATAACTTGTGGTAATTTGCCTATATATTAATCTATACTTTCTGTTTCAGTAAAACTTGGAGACTTGAGCGGTGCTTTAGCAACATTTGAAACCTCATTAGATCTAGCAAGGGCACAAGGTAATTTTGTGAAGTACAAAACTGTATTCACCTTAGTCTATATATAGTCACTGTATGCACATTTCTATTTTTATGCATCTCTCCTGATAATGTCTAAATGATATATGAAAATTTCTGTTTTCTGATTGTAATAATGCCAGCTTGGAACCATGGTGTGCTAGGACTTGAGGGTGGGGGAGAGGGATTTGTGACAGGGTCAAATGAAAAAAGAAAATATTTGTATTTCGTCTAAGTCCTTCATAAAATTAATCACTTGCCTGTGTGCCAATTTGTGGTTTATGATTTGACAGAGGAAGAGGGGAGATAACTTCTGGAAGTTGTCATTGTTTCTTAAAAAGATATAATAAAAAGTGACGTAAATTTGATTGTCAAAATGCTTTTACTATTTCTAGGTGACACTTCAGCAGAGACAGCCATAAAGAAAGCCATAGGAGAAGTGAACGCTAAAATAGCTAAAGGTGGGTCCAGAGGGTCAGGCAAAAGTGCCGACGCAGAACTGAAAAAGACAGAGACAAAACCTGACCAAGACATTGACCCTAATGCTTCTAGTCTAGAACGTGTAGATACAAAGATGGAGGAGACGAGAAAAGAGGAGGAGGCAGAGGAAAGAGAGAGGAAAGAACAGGAAAAGAAAGAGCAAGAACGAAAAGAGCAGGAGAGGAAAGAGGAGGAAGAACAAAAAGAGAAAGAAAGAATAGAGAAAGAAAAACAGGAAGCAGAAAAAAAAGAACAAGAAAGAAAAGAGAAAGAGGAAAAAGAAAAGGCTGATCAAGAAAAAGAAGAGCAGAAAACAGGTTTGTTAGAAATTCAAGAATAGTGCAAGAATATAGGGTTATTTTCTGTGTTATACTTACACTCATTAAATCATCCTAGATATATACAGGCATTATGCTAAGTTATGCATTTTATTGCACTATCCCCAAAATCCAAGGCCTTAGGGTTCCAGCTTTGATGTATATTATTTGTGTCCCTTGAATATGTTATAACAAAATTGAAGGCTCTACACAACTTTCTTGGTAGGAGGGTCAGAAAATTGGTCAAGTGATATTCCAGATTTGACATAAAAATAATGAAAAATTATGTATTAGATTTGAAACTGATTTGATATGAAGTTGTATAGGGCACACACAAATATGTTGGTTTGATCAAACAAATAACCTTGATATTTATGTAACAATGTACTTACATCTATATTTTTCTTGCACATTTCTTCTTTCTTCCTCCTGTTCTGTCTTTCCTTTTCCTCTGTTTCTTTGCTGCTTTCTGTTTAAAACCATGTTTCTTTGTCTTTCTTATCGATGTTTATTTCATATTTTTTTTTTTTTTTTCATTTTAAATCCTCTTTTCCTTTTAGTCCATCCTCGTCTTTGTTCTCTTTTATTCTTTACATCTTTTCTCTTTCCACTTCTTTTTCCTCATGTGCTAACTTACATTCATTGGAGACTGTTGGCTTTTTTCATTGCCTAATAGAGGGATTAACTTGAAAATGTGTTTTTAAGTTAATACAAGTTTGTATACTGTAAGACTCATTTTATGTAAACAAACTTATTGCAACGTTTTGCTTGTTGTTTTATGGACATCACTGTCATAACTTTGTCTGCATATAATTAAGTACTGTTGAAAAATTAATGGTTGTTAATTCACAAATTTTAATGTCAATTAAACTTTAGTTCATCGTTAATGGGAAGTTTTAAGTTGAATTTAAACCAAATTTAATGGGTTTTTT